CCCTCTCAGTTTTATTCTGTCATAAACATTGTAATTTACTTCCAACAACATCGTTACACTCATATCAGGGTCTTCAGAATTTCTGAGAATAATTTTGAAATCTATTTTCGTATATTGCTTAAGGTACACGGGAGTATTGTCCTCTTGTAAGTGGAATTGATATAAGGTATCCTTTGGCGCACGAACATACTATTTTATTTATATAGAAAAGGAATTTTTAATTTCATTTCTAATTTATCATTTCATTGACAGAGTGATGACTTTATGTGTATACCTGGAGGTGTATTACTGTGTTGTGACTTGTATACATTAAACATTACTATGATATACCTACTGAGAGGTCTGAAATTCTCGCCCGCACTTCAATGTAACAAACAACCACGGGTTCCGATATCATTCATGAGCGTCGCGATAGCTCACGAATCGCTTCATTTGACACCGGATAGTGCAAAAAGAACTTTCCTCAAAGTTATATGTTTGGGTGGATTGAGTGTGAATATTTGGTATTTGTTTGGTCATTTTCAGGATCTTTCGTGGATACGCAAAATTTGTAACGCAAAAGGATGACAAAGGCACAGTGTCCGGACCATTTCACAATACAACACGCCGGAATTCAATGTTTAGACCTTTAAAACGCATTCTAACTTGCATCTTTATCTGTGTGTATACCACAAATTTCAGGTACACCGGTATATATTTACCTGGTATAGGTTCGTTACACATGGATAAGGCCACATTGAAAACGCGTTAAGCTTTCTCTCTCAAATGCAGTATTATAGGATAAATTGGATTTATAACGAAAAGAAAAGTATTTAAATATCGATCGCATCGGGATTAGCCCGTGACACCGGGGGTTTTAAATTTTAGATTCAGAAATAATTTACAACACCCACACTTAGGTTTTGTTGTAAAATATTTAAATGTCAGTTTAATTTCTTTTTAATTTCAAAATAATATCCACTATCCCCATACTATAACATCTCCATATATCTTTTCCAAGCTATTAGAAAAGATTTCAAAAAGATTTTTTATCAAAGCAACTTGGGTTTTATATAATGTGAAATGAAATGTTTGTGTACATGTAGTCGTAGTTATAATATACAAGGACCTGTTGGTGTCAGGGCGGGGCTTCCTAATGAACAAAAGGGACTAGTGTCCGCTCTGTCTCTCAACATTACCAATATAACACATGAACGGAACATACTATACCTTTAGAATTATATTTTTAAAGTTATAGTACAGTGTTTGTTACATGTTGACTAGGTAGGCACTCGCTGGCAAGCCCTTTAAAGTAAAACCGTTTATATATGAATTCGTTTTAGATATCTACCTGACAATTTATCATATGATTTAATTACTTTACCTATTATACCATGACTATATCAAATTACTTGTGAAAAGTTAATTCCAAAATATGTTTTATGGTAAATGAGGTTTCTCTATGGACGGGTTTAGGTTATTATTGATATGAGCTTGAGACGTTGACATAAATTAGATTTACATTTTACCTGCCCAGGTATACATGAAGGTGAATAGATTGTGTACCTATGGATTGTGTGTGGGAATGTGGTGGTTTTGTATCAGCGGTCATGCTCATCAGTGTAATGCTTAAGGATAAACCCGATTTTTAATTCATGGTAGAATGTTTGTCTATTGAACATGTATCGTCTGAAAATGCGATCAACTTTGCCCCGTATGAACTCTGTGTGCATGCAGAAATGTACATTACGGTATTCCATGTGTAAATTTTACGACACCTGTATATTAAGGTAAGGCACTCGAACGACACTCTAATCAAATATGTATAAGATACTGTGAATATGATGTAGTGTAGAAAGGTAATAAGTGTATCTTACGATTATATATCCTAAATGTGTTGTAAACGTCTTCAACAGTCTGTGATACATAGAGAATAATACATGCCTTTTTCCATATCACACCCAGTATCAACCCGAGACTGCAATGGCCCTTGGGCTGATATTGCAGTCTCGGGTTGATACTGGGTTAAATATGGAAAAAGGCGTGTTTTATTCTGTTTATTACATACTTACTAATAAAAACTACTATCTTATGATTTATTTTAATTTTTGAAATATTGAAAAACGATTTTTTTTCCAAATGGGGTGTGATATGGGTTTTGCGGGCTGATATGGGTTTTGGGGTATGATACGGCGGGGGCTGATACTGGTTTTGGGGTGTGATACGGCGAGGGCTGATATGGGTTAGAGCAATTGTGTCGAATCGCATATACAAAAAAACCCGTATTTATTAGTAAGTATGTAATAAAAGTGTATGGCAGTACGTGTAAACGCATCAAAATAGATCTGACCTGAATCTTTACATTTTTTTTTATATTATGTTATAACTTAAGTCATTTTCTGATTCACTGNACCCCAAAAAAACCCACCCACACACAAAAGCAAAAAAACACATACAAACAAACAACAAAATAAAACACAAGAAACCCACAAAGATTTCGAGATTTCCACAGATAGCAACATACATAAGGAGGACATGGATTTTTTTAAAACAAGTTTCAGCTGTATAATCCATGAGTTAAATCAGAATATTGTGTGTGGTTATGACTTAGGTTTTGTTTTCAGAAGTTAATCGGAAACTTTACTCTTCAAATGTTCATATCATATGCAATCAGATAAGTAATGAGTAAGACCTCAGATAAATCAAACACAACCAATGATGACATCAACTCTCATAGATACATGACATTGACTCCGCTCGACGAGAAGAACATAACCAAGGACTTCAGCAAACCTGCTTGACGAACCACTTGTGATAAAATCAGCATCGTCACAGGAGACTTTAACATTCCTCTACCGATCAAATATCAATACTGATGATATGTTCTTTTCTCAACCGATTAAACATCTCAAATAGTGACATTGATTCTCCGCGAATAATTAAGAATCACTAATGATGACAGTGGCCAACTTTGACCTTTGCAAAGAGCGTCAATGACGAGAGCAACACTTGTTAATCCCTTCCATATCACTTAATGGAGAAAACAACTCTCATCGACCAAACAAACGTCGCCGGAAAACAAGAACATCGGTCAACCATTCAGATATTTTCAACGAAGACAACCGCAGCCAATGAGAAGAACAAGATTGAACGGAAATACTCTATTACACTTAACGAACATTGCCAATAATGACAGATAGTCTTGTCTCCACCAATGGACAATGACGAAACCAGTTTTTCTCGACCAATCAAAAATCGGCAACCACTTTAACATCGCCATGGATAACATCAACTGTCTACGATCTTTTAATTATCACCATTGTACCTAAGACAACAGTTCGCATAGATAAAATAATTATCACATATGGCAGGAGAGAAACTTTCATCGAAAAGTAAAACGTCGCCAAAATGTACAGTACCAATACAACTTAACCAATTAAACTTTGACAAAAGAAGACAACCACTTTTCCGTACAATGCAGACATCGTCCATGGAGACCATCAACCATCAACATCAATTATCCTCGACCAATCAAAGACAATCCATGGCATTCAAATTTCCACCATTATCTCCAATAATATGATCGCAAATGGAGAAAAAGCATTTTAAGCAATCAACAAATATGGTATTTCACAGCAATACACAGCAATCACTCTCATTGGAGATTGACAAGAATCCTTAGAGTCCTTACAATTGAACTGTGTGGTCAATCTAAGATGGGAACAAACACCCCCTTTAACTTGTCAATCTATACTGACGGCAATTCATCGCCTTGAACTAGTCAATCTGGGTAGAAATCAAACCCGCCCAATGAACTTCAAATTTAGATTTGAATAAGAATATTTCATTGAAGAGAAAATAACGTAGATGTTCGGGTCTTTCTTCGTTGATTCTGTTTCTGATTTGATCCTTATGACGAAATTAAAAACTGAACGGGTGGAGTCTTCTTAAGATATAATATCTACGGTGCTTTAACTAAACACTTTCACTTATTTCTGTAGATTGTTCAGACAGGGAAATCAATTATATTCAGGTTGGGATTGGTTTTTGGGATTTTTTTAATTTGAAAGTACAATTTTACGCTGATTCAAACGTGTCTGCCTAGAGTGTCATAGTTCACTTATGTTTTCTCGACCGGAAAACTAACAACGTCTTTACTGACTTAAAACCCTAGTATGTGTCAGCACAGTAAACAGTGAATAATGCCACATATTTACACTCGGCAGTCGACTTTCAATAAGGCATTGTCAAGGTGGGTTTTAATTAAAACCAATCTACATACCTTGCGGTAGACTTTCAATATATATCTATATCGGTCTGATCGCTGGGCTAGTCTCAAACAGAGGAAACCTATATAATGACAGTTGTATTACATATACCACAATATCGTTCCATCTGGATAATGATTCCTTAATTTATTCACACGAATTAACATAAACACAAGTATTCTGTTATCCACGTAATTATTAGCCAGTATATATATATATATATATCAGTATTGTGACATCAACGTAACCTTGTATATCGGCTACTAGTATACATGTACAGCTAATTATTATAACGAGGGTAGGTATATACCAAATACCGGGGTAGACAGGTTCGTAACCTTCCGGGCACTGTTTGAGTAGAAGTGTCTAACTTACATTATAATTTATACCATAACACCCCTTAACAAACATGACAAATTTTGGCAGCACCTCCACACCCTAGGATCGTTTGAACATTTAAAGAAATTGAATCAGACATAAAAAAATCCGTTCAAATACGAATTTGTTAGTTGTCATCGGGGTTTTTTGTATGAGCGTTTTGAACCTTTTTGAACTCGCTGATGTAGTAAGAACATTACATGGTATGGATTTTCCTGTTTTGTTCATCCATGGGAACTAAAAAATGTAAGTGTAACCTCGATACGACATTTGATCTGCTCCACTAAGGTGACTTCCGACGTATACTCACCTAGGTTGTTAAATCGGAATCGATCGGGTCGTTCGGAAACGTCCCTCGCATGAGTGGCATTGCGCTTATCTGATCCGGTCTTACCAATCATTATTTTTCTTTCATTGAAATATGTCTTGTTATTTCACGGTATAGACGTCGATAATGCTTTAGTATCAAGGTATGTGCGAGACTAATATACCTGTGAGCGTGCCTTGTTTACTACCAAACGGTAGTGGGGAGATTTCTCCAAATGTCCTCTCAAGCCCTAGGGATATATACCAGCGTTCAGTGTAATGGACTTTTGCTTTGTGGGCTCCGGACCGGCCATTATGTCTCGATTGTGTAGTATTTATTTCTCTAATTGATGTATTGGTAGTTGGATCGATAACGTTAGCCAGGAACGGTACAATTCTGTTTGAAGTGCTACGTACGTTAATTATAGATTTACCTGTTTATATTTAGTTCAGGTTTCGAATATAACACACTATTGGAGAGTGTTGGTTTCTAAAGCTACGTACTCCAAATTGTCACGTGCGTGAAATGAACGTTTGGTGCTTGTCTTTTGGCCGATATTGGACGATGATGTGAGGACTAAAAGCTTTATTGTGTTTACACGTGAGAAACCAGTAACGTTGAGATGATTCGAGGCAGTGACGGAATGGCCAGTAGCTCCATGAATAAAGTGGTCATCGAGGACTTTGTTGTGGTCAAAGTTTCCCAAAAGGGACATATCACAAGTAAGTATGTCTATACCAAAGAAAGTACACTGACAAAGTATATCTGACAGTGTATAATTGGGTGAGGAGGTCGTGGGCCATTATCCTGCCCTTGATTATCATATCACTAATGTATGACATACTGGATGTGGCACTCCAGGTTAACATTGTGAAATATTCAGGTAGAACCCAAATGTACTGTAGTCTGGTCTTCTACACAGGGAACCAGACATGTATTCGTACAGGCAGAACGGCTTCAACTATTCTCAAGCTTATATGAAAGTACTTGGTTCCTACGGCCAAATAATGGTAACTATTGCCATTTTATTTCAATAACAACGATTGATTAATTAGGACAAATTCTGTTTGTGTTAGGATACAGTTTGTATTAGGAGCCAGGGTGTTTGTATGATTCGGATAATGTTTCTTGGTAGTATTAGGAGCCAGGGTGTTTGTATGAACAGAATACAGATTGTTTGTAACGAAAGAACAGTGTGTACTGTAATGATGAAATAGAACACATTGTATTTGTATTAGGATACAGATTGTTTGAGATGTTAGAACGTAGTGTTTTTGTATTAGGATACTGATCGTTTGAGATGTTAGGACGTAGTGTATTTGTATTAGGATTCAGATTGTTTGAGATGTTAGGACGTAGTGTTTTTGTATTAGGATTCAGTTTGTTTGAGATGTTAGGACGTAGTGTTTTTGTATTAGGATTCAGTTTGTTTGAGATGTTAGGACGTATTGTTTTTGTATTAGGATGCAGTTTGTTTGAGATGTTAGGACGTATTGTTTTTGTATTAGGATACAGATTGTTTGAGATGTTAGAACGTAGTGTTTTTGTATTAGGATACAGATTGTTTGAGATGTTAGGACGTATTGTTTTTGTATTAGGATACAGATTGTTTGAGATGTTAGAACGTATTGTTTTTGTATTAGGATGCAGATTGTTCGTGATGTTAGGACGTAGGGTTTTTGTATTAGGATACTGATCGTTTGAGATGTTAGGACGTAGTGTTTTTGTATTCGGATGCAGTTTGTTTGAGATGTTAGAACGTAGTGTATTTGTATTCGGATGCAGATTGTTTGAGATATTAGGACGTAGTGTATTTGTTTTAGGATACAGATTGTTTGAGATGTTAGAACGTAGTGTATTTGTATTCGGATGCAGTTTGTTTGAGATATTAGGACGTCGTGTTTTTGTATTCGGATGCAGTTTGTTTGAGATGTGAGGACGTATTGTTTTTGTATTAGGATGCAGATTGTTCGAGATGTTAGGACGTAGTGTTTTTGTATTAGGATACTAATCGTTTGAGATGTTAGGACGTAGTGTATTTGTATTAGGATACAGATTGTTTGAGATATTAGGACGTAGTGTATTTTTATTAGGATACAGATTGTTTGAGATCTTAGGACGTCGTGTATTTGTATTAGGAAACAGATTGTTTGAGATGTTAGGACGTAGTGTATTTGTATTAGGATACAGTTTGTTTTAGATGTTAGGACGTAGTGTATTTGTATTAGAATACAGTTTGTTTGAGATGTTAGGACGTAGTGTTTTTGTATTAGGATACTGATCGTTTGAGATGTTAGGACGTAGTGTATTTGTATGTTGTGTGTGTCCATGTGAGGTGACCATCCCCCTACTCAATGGTCATTTGTTGTTTGACCGCCCATAATACATATAAGTCTCCTTGATCAGATTAAGAGATAATCCACGGTCAGCACGCGTTCAATCTGGAAAGTATTTAGAGTTTAGGTCATAGTAATTTTGAAGGCCCGGCACACCATATCAGTTAGTCATCTGTTTTTTGTGACATCAGTAAGTAAAATAGAAAGATTTTCTACTTCAGTGTTAACATGCAAAAACAAAATATGTACAGCGTCAACACATACAGACAAAATACATCGCAACGTCAACACACACGGGCAGCATAAACCAGAACAACAATCTCCAAAGACAAAATGTGCCACAGCACCAACGCACAACACAAAGTATATCAAAATGTTAACATACCAGGTCAAATTTACCACATCAGCAGCATCCAAAGACAAATTTAACACAACAACAATATACAAAGACAAAATTTTACACAACAACAATATACAAAGACAAAAACTAATACAACAACAATATACAAAGACAAAATTCAACACAGCAACAATATACAAAGACAAAAACTAATACAACAACAATATACAACGACAAAATTTAACACAACAACAAAATACAAAAACAAAATTTTACACAACAACAATATACAAAGACAAAATTTAACACAACAACAAAATACAAGAACAAAATTCAACACAGCAACAATATACAAAGACAAAATTTTACACAACAACAATATACAAAGACAAAATGTTACACAACAACAATATACAAAGACAAAATTTAACACAACAACAATATAGCAACAAAGCATCAATAACCACGTACAAAATATATTCAACAACGTTGGCACACCAAGACAATTATATTAAAGTGTCAACACACAATGACAAAATATACCCCATTACGCAAGTGCAACTATATCACAGTGGCAATGCACCCAATCCGAACTCTGTACGAATGGACGACACAATCAAACAATGAAATACCGAAAAACAAAAGAGAAATATTGATAATGATAGTTGGTTTTCAAACATATCTATGTTATCAGGATATGATTTATATAGAACCATCGGGGTACTTTATTTACAAAGCGGCGTATCATGGTCTGTATCATTGTCTATACAGATCTGTGTGTTATTAGGACTAAAATTATACAATGTACAATGCCCTGAGTATGTGCTACTGTTACGTAATATCACGTGCATAGAAACTGTTGTTTTGTGTAATAATATAAGCTTTCAATATTTTTAATCGACCATTCGGCAAATATTGATGTTATGTAAAGGTTGTGGGACAAGAATTGCATGTAAATCAATTTCTCGGGTGAAGAACGATAATGATATATACGGTAACATGCCCTCCGTCTCTACACGTTTAAATGTCTAGAAGGCCTCCATTCTGTGTATAACACTACGCATTGTGCATGTCTTTGTTGTCCTGTTGACACTAGCACAAACAACAAGTGACGATACGTCAATACACTACGTTTAAAGTGACGGGATCAGTGGTATATGTCTGTCCCGATACAAGGTCTGCTTTCTACTAAGAAGAGTCCAGGGTCGGGACCAGGAGATAAATGGGTTTATCTGCAAACCGTAACGGTACATGATTACCGCGGGCCCAAATCTTTACTACTAGGTCGATGTTGGATATGGATTCATGGTTACATCGACCCCAGTGTTACAACCAGATTGGTGTCTATGACTTCAGTGATTGATGTCGACTGCTGATAGACAGACTAACGGCGCAGGGTTTCAAAAGGTGCAGGCTGACCTTTGACACTTTCGTATGGTCATCATACTGTCATCCCTGTGTAATACATAAGGATATAGGCTACTAAAGGTCAATGGTTTTTATTATGTTCATTAGTGTGCCTTGTTGTTTTATTATCACTGCCCCAGTTCTCAGTATGAGGACATGACATTTCTTATATGTGCATGGCGGGTGTCGTCGATGAAGCAGAAGACACTTACCCTAGCTTCCAAAATACCTGGTCTTATTCTCCTTGTACTTTTTCAAGGCTCCCAAATCCCACTTAAACCTTTCCTTTGTTCATAGGTTGCCCTTGTTTTATCGATTTTAAGTTCGAATTATGGTTTTTGTCGACACTTACGTATTATTTTCTTGCTTTTTTATGCATCAGCGGAGGGATGGGAAAAGTTATGTATTTGTTTGGAAACCTGTGCTGGGGTCCAGGTCAATGATACATTCGTAAAGGTTGCAATTTCAATAAGCGAACCATGGTCAAGGATAGTAATGCATTAGTTGTGTACACTGCCCCATAGTCAATCTCGATATTCAGGGGTTACGCTCACTTTCAAAATAGAAGGCACGAAGACAGCTGTTTGATTGGTCTAAGGTCCAAAAAACTTGACCAATCGCTAGTCTGATACCTGTCCTTTGAAGATTACAAAGTAGACACGCCCGATTTCAACTACCGTTACGTGACCGCGAGATTCTTTTGATGTACATCAAAAGATCGAACTAGTCTTCTTGTCTCACCAACAAGGTGGCGCACACTGATCCTTCAATTTTGCTATTTCATATTCCGGGGGTGTAGAGAGTGAAAGTGAACGTAACCCCTCGATATCGAGGATGCCCCGGAGTCGATGTATAATAATATATATCCTTTCGGTGTAATGTCCCGTGATACAGGTTAGTTCTTTGTTCGTTTGATATACCCGTGTACTGGGTTTGCGATGTGAGAGGATTATTAAGAGATGAATCGAAACAACTTCACTCTTCAACTTTTCATTTTATTCCCCGGAACAGGAAGTCAAACAACAAAACATAGAAACAAGATACGGAGACGGAATACAATAATACACAAAAACGGTTAATTCCGGATATTCTATTGGTGGTTATAATATAATATATACCATGTATATAACATCCCCCCCCCCCCCCCCCCCCAACAAAACAAAAATTGACCCGTTAATTTTTTCAAACAACCATCAATTGAATATATTCTAATGCTATACTGGCATCATTAAAATAAACTGATTATTCAATTTACATACGGTTTCGTGTACACAACTACTTGTAACAGTTATACATGACATGTACCAAAAAAGTGTTTTTGAAATAAAGATGATTGAATTATTATCAAAACTGAACAAACTTGCTGCAATGACAGCAAATTTCACATTACTAGTAACACAACAATGAAGTAACAGGACATGGTAAAGTTATGTTCTGGCCAAAATATTGATATAATGAAATGTTAATGGTTGATCAAGGTAACTATGGGGAACAATGTCCATCAAAAATGAATAAGTATCCTCTAGAATGTCATGATCTTAATTTCACAAATCGTTATGCTAATAATAGTGTTCCATTTGATAATGTCTACTTATACACAAGCTTCTGAGGAAGATCACTTCTTTTTCCTGTTAAAAAT